ACCCTCATTACAGGAGTGAGGAGGAGAGGATGCTGTTGTGAGTCCTTGATTAGATGGACTAGTGATCTATTTCTCTCTCTCTCTCTCTGTAATATTTTTTTGGTAAATTTACAATTTTTTCCCCATACAAAGATTTACCATGGTGAACATGTTTCCCACTATAGTGTCATGGTTAATTGTTGCTATTGTAAAAGCATAGTTTTTGAACAGTAAGATTTTTATGTTTTTAAAAAAAAAATTTAAGAAGTCTCTTCTGCTCACCAAGCCTGCATTTATTCAATCCAAAATACAGGCAAAGCAGTAATATTGTGAAGTATTTTTACTATTTAAAATAACTGCTTTCTCTTTGAATGTATTTTAAAATGTAGTTTATTCCTGTGATCAAAGCTACATTTTTTAGCATCATTACTTCAGTCTTCAGTGTTATATGATCTTTCAGAAATGCTGATTTTGCTGTTCCAGAAACATTTATTATTATTATTATCATTATCAATATTTAAAACAGTACATTTTTTCAGGATTCTTTGATGAATAGAAAGATCTAAAGATCAGCATTTATCTGAAATAAAAAGCTTTTGTAACATTATTCACTATACCATTCAAATGCTTTTATTCCTGTGATCAAAGCTACATTGTTTAGCATCATTACTTCAGTCTTCAGTGTTATATGATCTTTCAGAAATGCTGATTTGCTGTTCCAGAAACATTTATTATTATTATTATTATCATTATCAATATTTAAAACAGTAAATTTTTTCAGGATTCTTTGATGAATAGAAAGATCTAAAGATCAGCATTTATCTGAAATAAAAAGCTTTTGTAACATTATTCACTATACCATTCAAATGCTTGGAGTCAGTATGTTTTCTTTGGGAACGAAATTATAGAAATGAACACTTTTATTTAGCAAGGATGCTTTAAATTGATCAAAAGTGATGATAAAGACATTTATAATGTTACAAAGATTTCTATTTCAGATAAATGCTGTTCTTCTGAACCTTCTATTCATCAAAGACACCTGAAAAAATTCTACTCGGCTGTTTTCAACATAATAATAATAATAATAATAATAAATGTTTTTTGAGCAGCAAATCAGAATATTAGAACGATTTCTGAAGGATCATGTGTTAAATGAAGATGGCAATGTTAAATGAAAAATGTTCATTATTTTTATTTGTACCTATTTTTATTGATTTATTTTTTGTTTTGCTTTTTTTTTTGTTTAAAAAAGGCTTTAGATCCTTGTATCACTATATTTTCTATCCATTGGTAATTTTGTAAGTTGTTTTGACAGACTGTGATTTCTATGGTAAATATGTGTATGGGTTATTACCTGCCTGTGTCATTTAAAATCATTTAGCGGATGTGTCAAAGCGCAGCAGACAGGCTTCAGAACTGGTTTTGTTTCGCTTTTTCCATGTGAAGGAAAATAATGAATCATTTCTGTGTTATTGATATTTCACGGCACTTGCTTCACCCCGACTGTAGCGTGTCAGGTGATCGTGTGATTCTCTCTCTTTCCTGAACCACTAACCACGAGCTCTCATATCGTATCATATTGTGTTCCTCTCTGCCCGAGTTTTAACCGTGCCGTTGGACTCGAGGGCTCAATCTGAAACCGTCCATTATTTTTCCAGCAAGTGACCAAACTGATCGATGTGTTAATTCACCAGTGATGAAGAGGGGCAGCAGTGAGCTAAAATTAGTGTTGAAAACAAGGCTAATAGATGAGTCCATTTCACCTGAGTGCTTTAAAAAAACAACAGCTCGCTGGCATGTGAAGCTGGTGGTTTTATGGGCTCAGCGCTGCTCGTCTCATCAGGTTTCCACCCGGCTTCTTGTTTACAGTTGAGGACGGGTAGAAAGGTCACAGGGGGGCGTTTGTCAGAAATATTGACGCGCTTGAAAAATTGCAGAACGCCCAAACCGTCTGTCACGTTCTTGAATAAATATTTGTTTTGGGTCGGTGCAGATTTGCCAACTCTGCCAGCGTTTAGACACTTTAGAGTGCTGATGGACGCTAATGCTTTCCTCAACTTTCATGTGTTTGCTTTATCTCTGCTCTGTTTTGATGGGAAATTTAGTGCGAATGATTTAATTTCGATATTATTTAGCGTTTGGCCACCCGTCGTGTGTTTACCATTATGAAAACACTGTAAAGACTGTCAAATCAGCCTAATTTGCTGTTAACAAGTACAGTAATGCTTAGATCTGAGCAGATACCCCCTGACACTTATGTGACTATCTCTCTCTGTCTGTCTTTTCTGGGTTAAAACGTTCTGCTTAGGCATTCAGCTTTTTCACTGGGACCAGCCGGCTTCTACTGTGCTAATGAAATTACTGTGATTGCTGTTCAATAGCTTCTCCTGCAAATCAGGGAATGTATTACAATACGTCATTATAATACAATGAGCAAGGATTTCGGATTTTAGGAACCTGAAGTCTGCAGTGATTTTTCCAGCATTGTTCGCAACGTTAAATTACAGGGATCTGTCAGAGGTGCGCTTTTTTTTTTTTTTTAAATAAATCATGCAGGTTTCAGTTGAATTGTTGTAAATACATTGTTTTCATGTGCACTATTTATTTATGGTCCTGAAAATGTGATTTGTATGCACTTTTTAAATTTGTTTTTAGGTTTGAAGCCTGCCGATACATTGTTTGCATTTGCAATTTGCGATTTAAATTTGTGGTGAATGTGATTTAATTTGTGTTTTTCATGAACTGAACATGTCAAAGTATTGATACAAATATCTAAAGTAGCTTTACAGTATAGTGAGAATTGAATATTGTGATGTGTTATTGAATAAAAATGTTGTGGCAGTAGCTTGAGCACATGCTTTCCAGAGACAAATTGAAGCAAGGCTTCATAGTCCTACCATATGCAGAAAAACTGTAGTGCTTAGGTTGTGGTTGAAGTGAAGCCTTATTCCGCCTGCGTTTGCTTAATGTGGCGCTTCCCGACCCTTCCTTTCCCTTCTCTTTGGAAAGGGAGAAAGACAGAAAGAAAGGGAGACAGACAACAGGTGCCATGCAGACCTCTTTCATTCCTGCTGTTCTGCCCAGTGGGGGGAAGCAGTGATTGAACAAACGACCGATGTGTTTGATCTGCAAACCACTTGTGTTAAATTTTCCAAGAGCGAATGAAATGGTGCTATAACCTCTCGCTGCGTTTTTTGTGTTCTTTCTGTCTTCTCTCTGTGATCTTGCGTCTAGCTCAGGTTTAAAAATTGAAAAAGGTTCTTATTCAATACCTTTTTTATTTGAAATAAAAGCAAATGATTCTCATGGCATTCGGTTAACAGCTCTGGACGGTGTGTGTGAGATTCATAATTTCTGTATAAGTGCACCATTTCATGTTGTGTATTTATATATTTAGATTTTTTAAATATTAAACAATTTAATGCATTTATTAAGTAATTGTATACAATTTATTTCTTCTTTACCATTATTTTGGGTTTCCATAGTCTGGTTATATCAGGAAATTTTAAAATTCCATTTTCCAAGCCTAGAAAATGAGTTTCTAAAATAGTAGTATAAGTTATATGTAGTTATGTTATTTTGCAGAAAATTGATTTTCAAGCCAGTCTGATTGCAACCACAAAATTTGTTTGTTCAATTCATTGGTTAAACATGTTCCCAGAATTATACTTTAGTGATTGAATTGATCTCACTTTGAATCAATTTTATATATTCTTATTTAGCAATCAGAATTATTTGGAAAGGTCATGAAAAGGTCATGGAAATGTATTTGTCACAAAGTGTGGGAACCCTGCATTATTGTTTTGAAATGTAAAATAATCGTCATTTGACAACATTTGTCTCTATTGACCATCCTTTTTTTTTTCACCAAATAGCAAAGAATTGTTAAAAATACAGAATCACTTGAATCGGAATCGTTAAATTCCTTACGATTCCCATCCCTATTTTTGCTGTCTGGTTAAGGGCTTCTTCCTAATTAACAAATGTGCTTGGGATTAGTGCTTGCAATGACCATAAAGGTTTATTAGCAATCCATTGAGTGAAAGGAGTGGGAGTGACAAGGCTTGGCACCAACAGAAGCCACTCGATCAATACATACCCCCAAAATCCCCTCACCCAGCTGTCACGCACTGGCTCACAGTCCACTCTGAGTCACTAATGCCTCCAAAATGGAGAGCAGGCAGGGATGGATTGTGTCTCAGGCAGAAGTGCTGAAATTCTGATTGTTGGGTTTTAAAATCGGTTATTGTCAAAGTTCATTCTACTAGAACTCAAAGCTTCATTTCCGGTAAGAGTCTGCAAGAGCGCCTCTTGTGCATGTGTACAAGACAGATAAATACGTGCAACACTTAGCTATTGACATTTACGCACCAACAGTGCTGATTTGATGTTAGAAACTTGGCCTCACTAATCACGGTGAGGTAGTACAAAGGAAGTTGGATGCGTTTTATGGGAGACAAGGTATACATTTTATCAAGTTTATCAAGTTGATGCATTCCCAGGGAATTGAATACAAGATCTTGGCACTAATGACGCCAATTGTTTGAGCTTCAGGGATTCTCAGTAAAATGTGGGAAAATCTGCCAGACGTGTTCGTGGCTTTATATGGCTCTAGCCGTGTTGCATATCCTTCCAAAGAATCTCAATGATACAAACACGTAGTTTTGCTACTAAATGCATTATCATTATTGCATGATCAAAATTTGTGATGCTTATAGGTATTGCAGCTTTAGAAAGAGGTTGTTATTGAAGGATGAGGAGTAGTGCAAACTATATTGTACTATATTACAAAGTGGCAAGAAACGGGCTGTTTAAATATAAGGGTCAGATTGTGGGTCAAAAAACTAAATTATGACTTTTTCTGTGCAAAAAGTATTGCCTTGGGGGAGAAAATGAAATTGTAAAGTATGATGACCCCTTTAATGCAATTAAACTTTTAAAGATAAGACATTGCTTTGCCTGCATAATCCATTTTCAAACTAACTAATTTTTTTTTCTTGTTTCTCTCTTTTTCATTGTAGACATGAACCACTGAGACAGCAAAAGAAGAAAAAGCCTGGAATACGCTTGAGGGAAGAGCTTTGTCTCATTCCCCCCTCCACATTAGAAGGTTTGGAATCATGAGGTCCTTGTGGCTGCTGGTATTTTCCGTCTCTGTTTTGACCGGGACCAACATGGCGTTTCCCAAGACTCCTACTGAACCCCCTGAAGTCTCCGGGAGCTTCAGGGTTAAAGACACGAGCCTCACGCACCTCACCGTGCACCACAAGACTGGCGAGGTGTTCATCGGCGCGATAAACCGAGTCTACAGGCTCTCCGCCAATCTGACCGAAATGCGCTCGCACCAAACGGGTCCCGTGGAGGACAACGCCAAGTGCTACCCGCCCCCCAGCGTACGACCATGCACGCAGAAACTGGAATCCACAGACAACGTCAACAAATTGCTGCTGGTTGATTATGCTGGCAACCGTCTGGTGGCTTGTGGAAGCATCTGGCAGGGCGTGTGCCAGTTCCTGCGGCTGGAAGATCTCTTCAAGCTTGGTGAACCACATCACCGTAAAGAACACTACCTCTCAGGAGCCAAAGAGCCAGATGGGATGGCTGGAGTTGTGGTGGGCGATGACGACGGAGACTTGAAGAAGAAAAAGAAAGGTGACAGCCGCCTCTTCATCGGCGCTGCCATCGATGGCAAATCTGAGTATTTCCCAACCCTATCCAGCCGTAAACTGGTGGCAGATGAGGAGAAAATGGAAATGTTCAGCTTGGTTTACCAAGATGAGTTTGTGTCCTCTCAAATCAAGATACCTTCAGACACCCTGTCTCAATATCCCGCATTCGACATTTACTACGTTTACGGGTTCTCCAGCCGCACTTACATCTATTTCCTCACTTTGCAACTGGATACCCAGCTCACCCAGGTTGATGCGACGGGTGAGAAGTTCTTTACCTCAAAAATCGTCCGGATGTGCTCCAATGACACCGAGTTCTACTCCTACGTCGAGTTCCCACTTGGGTGCACCAAGGATGGCGTGGAATACCGACTTGTCCAAGCCGCCTACAAGCACCGTCCTGGGAAGTTTCTGGCCCAGGCTCTCGGCCTTTCTGAGGACGAGGATGTCTTGTTTGTGATCTTCTCCCAGGGTCAGAAGAACAGGGCTAACCCACCGAGAGAAACAGTGCTGTGCTTTTTCACGCTGCACCAGATCAACCTGGCCATGAGAGAGAGGATCAAGTCGTGTTACCGCGGGGAAGGAAAGCTGTCTCTGCCATGGTTGCTCAACAAGGAACTGCCTTGTATTAATACGGTGAGTCTTTGAATTAATTTTCGCTCTATATCTGTTTTATTTCAAGTATTTGTGATCACAGTTTTGCCAAGTAGGGTGCGTTTGTTAATCTACCAATCACATTTTAGGGGTAGGTTCAGGGTTACACTTGGGGTTGGCGTTAACAACAGCAATGTTCTTATTCTTACCAGCTTATAATTACCTTTTGGTTTTTGGGATTAAGTTTAGGGGTATGTAGGACTTTGTCTGCTTGACAGGAATGTCGTTTCAAGCATCAAGAAATTCCTGGATTCCAGGTTCTTGGATCAACATTGTTTTTTCAACCTTCTTATGCAACACTCACAATCTTTTAAATCATTGGGCAAGACCCAATGCACAATTCATCAGCGCCACCAATGCTCAATATACAGTGGGTAAAATAAGTATTGAACACATCAGCATTTTTCTCAGTAAATATATTTCTAAAGGTGCTGTTGACTTGAAACCAGCTGTAATCCATTAGTAATTAGAAAGTCAGTGGAAATGAATATTAGCTGGTTCAGTCCCAACACCTACAGTACCAGGATGATGAAGATGAAACAAGGGTGGACATTTCAGCAAGACAATGATCCCAAACACAGCCAAGGAAACTCAATTGGTTTCAGAAAAAGAATATAAAGCTGCTAGAATGGCCCAGCCAATCACCTGGCATGAATTCAATAGAAAATAAGAAGTAAAGATCAGAGTTCAACGTTCGCTATCGCGTTCCGGGGGGGTGGGGGTCCTCGGTCCATTCGCCACGTTGCACCCTCCTAAGGACGGCCCTGCCTTTAGAAATATATTTACTGAGAAAAATGGTGACGTGTTCAATAGGCCTACTTATTTTACCCGCTGTATGTATGTTTTTAATTAATTTATTTGTGTCCACTTATATTGTATATTAATTGGTTTCAGCCTATTTTTCCCCTTATATCTGGGGTGTCCAAACTGGTTTTAGCTCCAGCTTGTGTTTAGCTCCAGCTTGAATCAACACACCTGCCTGGAAGATTCTAGTATGCCTAGTAAGAGCTTGATTAGCTGCTTCAGGTGTGTTTAATTGGGGTTGGAGCTAAACTCTGCAGGACAGTGGCCCTCCAGGACCCAGTATGGGCAACCCTGCCTTATATCTAGCACTAATTTAAAGAAATAGCAATAGATTATGACAAATATTTAACCATTTGAATGCACCATTTCTTGACATGCACTTCCCTTTTAAGAATGCGTGTCAGTGTCTAATTTAAATGGCATGCTTTTTTTTATAGTCCCCCCACATAGTATAGATTCACAGTAGTGGCCATATATCAGCCATGTTAAAATAATATTTGGCTTATTGATATTGCCAGAATTGTAACATTGGTGCATCTCTACACCCTAACTATGAGCTTAAATGCATCCAAGTCCTAAAATAAGAGGGAAATAATATTTTTGGTAACACTTTAGTATAGGGACCAATTCTCACTATTAACTGTTTGCTTATTAGCATGCATATTACTAGCATATTGGCTGTTTATTAGTATTTATAAAGCACATATTCTGTATGACCACATTCTACATCCCTAATTCTACACCCCAATACCTAAACTAAAACTTAACAACTACCTTATTAACTACTAATAAGCAGTAATTAGAAATTTACTGAGGCAAAAGTTGTAGTTAATAGTTAATAGTGAGAACTTGACCATAAAATATAATCTTATCCTAACCTTATCTTATTGACTGATTGCAATGTTATTCCAATGTTGATCCAGGAACATGTCCTCCTTGTTTAAATCATGTTGTTAAAGCATGTATTCGTGTCACAGCAAGGTACCCCAGGGTTTCCGTGCTCACATAATAATAGACCTTTGGTCTGTTATCTTTTTTTTTTCTTCCATTGTTGCGCCTGAAAAACTAATTTATGGATGCTGTACATGATTCCCATTGACCTAATTGTGACATGTTGCAGACTTTTCAGGAATGCCTGTGTAGGGGAAACTGTCTAACATGATTGCACATCTTAATCTGATGTAATGTATCTTTGATGAAAAATCTATTCAAACCAGACAGGGTGGGAAGCAATAGCTTATTATGTGAGAGATGAAGAAGGTGATGGCTAGACATCAAAATCAATATGCCTCTGACATTTTAAACCAGTCAAGTGTACCACGCGCGGTCTGCCTCTGGAAACCCTTGATGCTTTATTTATGAATCTTTAATATTTGTCTCCTGTAATTCAGTGACAAATCACACTTATGATTTGATGTTATTTATCTGCCTCGAAGCTAGCCGTAGGCTTGTTCTGCAATTCGCAAATCCTTTAAATAGTGTGTTTACATCAACTCTGTCCAAAGGTTAGGTATTATTAATTTCTTTGGGGTTAAACATCCTGTAATTTTGAAGCTAATTAGCAAACAGTAGAGATGGCGCCAAAAAGTACCATGGTACAAATCCAGTATTCTTGCATGTAAGCAAAATCGCCAATTAGGGATGCATCAAGACATGCAATTTTGATTGATTATGGAATTTATAGACGATTATTAATATTCAGTGTATTACAAAGGTCAACACAGATTCCATGCACATTCTTACAAGAAATGCTGAGCATGCATGACCGAGGAAAAAAGGGCATTTAAGAAAGTTTATACTGTCAAATTTGGGGTTTTGTGCCATTATTCATGTTCATGTGTGCTTATTTCAGCATAGCAAGTTAATGGTTGATATTTTCCTGCTAAATTATGATAATATGTAATTCTTATGCACTGGAATATTCAAAGAAATGATTTAAAATCAACTGGAAAAGACTTGCACTTAATTCATAAGCCATTTATAAGTAGCTAGTTGTTAAGACGTTTGTTTTCTGCATAAACGTGACCGATTTAATGTGTATTAGTTTAGTAATTGTTTATAGTATGCAGTTGTATCATGCATATTCAGCAACAGTTTCTATTTCTAGGTACTGAAGCCACAATTTTGGTTTTGAACCAACCCTAGTGTACATATTGAATCATTTTGCTGCATGTCGTTTGATATGTTAGTTGTCTGGTAGTTATTTAGTGACTGCGCTTGTAAACTTAAACTCTCCTCGCGCTACAGTAGCAATGTTTTCCCCCTCGAAAAAATAACAGAAAGCATTAGCAAACCGGCTGAGTTTGTTTTTCCTTCTTACTTGCCTGGAGGACAACCAGACGAGAGGACAATTTGCGTCCGCGGCTGTAATTGCGCCGGGAACAATAGCACAACACCTCGCGGCCCGGCTAGAGCAGATGGGGCGAAGATGGCGAGTGCCGATGACCTCGTTCCTTTGGGGGGGGGGCTGTGGTTGTTTTTATGAGCAACAACAGGGTTCCCCATGACTGATTCCAGCGCCGCGGCTGCCGGGGTATTATTAGCTCTTTCTCATGCGCGGCAACGGCCCTCCGCCTTATAATGAGAGCGTGCGTGTCTGCCGCGAGCTCATGCTTCGTTTAATACATTTACCCTTCATATGCATGCAAAAAAACAAGCGGTTCCACCGGCCAACATCACCCTCTCAATCATCATTCAACGGCATGCTCTCAAGACGCCCATCGCCTCGAAGAATTTGGGCAGAAAGTGCCAAAAAATTCAGCTGTTGCTGTTGCACCTTCATGTTCGTCATTACCGCCGTGAAACGTCTTGCTGTTGGAGCTGATATCATTCATCCGCAGGCTAAGCTGACCTCTCGTTGCACTTTACTGAGGTTTTTTTATGTGGCGTTGGATGCCGAGGTCCAGAGTGTTTTCCGTCGAGCTCTGAGAACCTGGTAATGAGTCAATAGTTCACCTGGGGGGTGAACCGGGGGACTAGGTTTGGTGCTCGATGACATCATCACTTGGCCGATTGATGTGTTGCAGATGTTAGTTAACGCAATTGATTTTTGAATAACTCTTCTGACTCTGATTTCCTTGAGGAGAAATGACATACAGTGATTTTCTTGTAGTTTTTCCTCCTTTGTGTCAGTGGACAGCCATTAAAACCGGCTGAAATAATGCTTTTCAGAGACGCTCGGAGGGTAAAGGGTGCCTCTTTCGGGAGAGAGCGCATCTGAAGTGATAAAGCACTGACAGTGAGGTAGATTGCAGGATGATGTCATGTTTCACCGGTCTGTGCACGCCGGCCCCCGGTCTGATCCCCATGGGCTCACTTTCGCAGTCTCTGTTTGGGTGGCACTTCTCTGTCTGATCTATTAGCTGGCACTTCCTGTCTGAGATGCTGTGATTTGACTGGAGAAATCTGTTGTTGGGTCTTCAGGCTATTTGTTTGCTTGTGTGGATGTATTTTTATTTTTGTGATATGCAAATGCATTTAAGTGTTTAACCTGAAATCTGGCCCACAAATAAATTTTTACTTTCTACAATCTGATTTAATGTCCCAAAGATCTACTAAAGGTGACTAAACAATGGCATAACACGAACTACTCGGCATTTGTTGTTAAGGGTCCTTAATCCGCCAATAAGTAATTATTTTATATTAACGAGACAGCGGACTTTTTATTTTATTTCATTTCATTCACTAACTTTATTTGCTAACCCCATCATGTAGTCATTTTTACTGAATTTTAAAGATTTTGTATTCATTTTTTTGCAATTAATTTAAAAATGGTTTTGTTTCGTGTTTTTTCAAAGACACGTGGACTTTTTTATTTTATTTTATTTTATTTATTATTTTTTTAATTATTCTAACAAAATTTTAGTTGTTTTAACTGAATCTTTAATATGTTGTAGGCCTATGTATTTTGTATTAATTATATGCCTTTAAGTTTTGTTTTTTTTTTACTTTTTATTTTGGTTTTATTTATTTTTATTTTTTGTTTTAAATCATTGCAACAGATTCACTAACACTATCATGATATAGTTTTTTTAATGAATCTGAAATATTATGTATTGTATTCATTTCAATTTATCATTTAATTTAAAAAAAGTATGTATTAGTTGAATTACTTATTGTTTTATTTATTTATTTTTATTTTATTTTAATCCCATTTTTAATGTAGCCTTTCGGACCTGTTTTTACACATGACTTATGTCAGGCCTAAAACATCTGATTGATAAAACAATCTGATGAATATGAACTAATTACGCTTCATTGTTTCTCGTTTCGTCCCGTAGCCCAAGCAGATTGGCGATGATTTCTGTGGCCTGGTTCTGAACCAGCCTCTCGGAGGACTGAGGGTCATTGAGGGCACTCCTCTGTTTGACGACCGCACTGACGGTATGGCGTCCGTGGCCGCGTACACTTACGGAGGTCATTCGGTGGTGTTCGTGGGGACTCGCAGTGGCCACCTCAAGAAGGTAAGAACTAACCATTCTGTGTCTTCCACCGCTGACTGTTACAAAGATATTGGGTTTTTGGTTTCTTCTTGACATTGCTTGATTGGGAAGTGATATGTAGAAAATGTAGATACAGTACGTAGAAGATGTGGATAAGTAAGTTTGGTAATAGTTGAAGTGCATTGATGGACTAATCCGTTATCACTTTCTTCCAATCCATCTTTGATTCTGTACTTCGTCAGGTCAAAGTCAACAGCGTGTGCTACAGTGTTACTTCTGTAGTGTGACGTATTTCAGAGTGAAAAAGGATATTCGGTGAGAACTTGAGACTTGCTTTCATCCATAGAGAATTGATTGATTTGTGATTTCTATGATTGATGGTTGGACTTGAACAGGTGACATCAGCTAAAAAGTTTTTTTTTTTGCATTTTAATGATTACAAAGGCAAACTTTTGTTGTCGTTGTAGTTAAAAAATAATGTACAAGAACAAAAAAGTGCATTATGCTAAATGGGGGCAATTTTGATTTAATGTTGACGTAAAAACTAGGCATTTGTCACAATTTCTGACTAGCGTTTTCACAATTTTTAACTCGATTTAGAGAGAGGTGGAATACGTTTATTTTATGTGTATGTTTTATGTGTACATTACTGTTCAAAAGATTGTGGTTGGTAAATTTTTTTGTTTTTAATGTCTCTTATGCTCGCCAAGGCTGCATTTGTTTGATCGGAAATACAGTAAAAACAGTAATCTTGTGAAATAGTATTACAATTTAAAAGAACAATTTTCTATTTTAATATATTTTGGCCCGGTTTCACAGACAGGGCTTAGGTTAAACCAGGATTAGGCCATAGTTCAATTAGGACATTTAAGTCTTTTTTAGAAATATGACTTAGGTAAAAACATTGACACAGACAAAACAATGAACCTGACATATTTTAAGATCAGTCAGTGCAAGTTTCTTTCAGTTAAAACAGCCCAGACACGCATTTTAGTCTGGGACTAGGCTTAAGCCTTGTCTATGAAACCGGAGGTTTATGTAATGTAATTTATTCCTGCGATGCAAAGCTAAATTTTCATCATCATTACTCCAGTCTTCAGTGTCACATGATCTTTCAGAAATCATTCTAATATGATTTGCTGCTCAAGAAACATTTAACACACTTTAGCACACACACAAAAATATATGAAATGGGTTTAATAAATAGATTTGGTATTTTGCTTTATAGTTTTGATCTAATTAGCATGCTGAGAGTGAGTGAGTTTGTTTGTACAGCCCTACGCATTCAGACTGACGTCTTTGACTCCCGTGTCGTCTCTCACAGTTTTTTTTTTAGCGTCCCGCCATGCGCGTTATGTTTTTTAGTCAGCGTGTTAAGTTAAAAATACATTTTTAACACTCATCTCTAGACCCCTGCGTTCTGTTACAGTCTGTTGCGCTCCTCGGGGCTGTTTTTGAACCCAGTGTTTCTGATGGGGGTCAGATGAACCTGAAGTGAGCCTAAATATGACCCTGGAGCACAAAAGCAGTCTTAAGTCGCTGGGGTATATTTGTAGCAATAGCCAAAAATACATTGTATGGGTCAAAATGATAGATTTTTCTTTTATGCCAAAAATCATTAGGATATTAAGTAAAGATCATGTTCCATGAAGATATTTTGTAAATTTCCTACCGTAAATGTATCAAAACTTAATTTTTAATATGCATTGCTAAGAACTTCATTTGGACAACTTTAAAGGCAATTTTCTAATATTTAGATTTTTTTGCACCCTCAGATTCCAGATTTTCAAATAGTTGTATCTCAGCCAAATATTGTCCTAACAAACCATGCATCAATGGAAAGCTTATTTATACAAATCGACACTAGTAATTGACAATTAAGACTGGTTTTGTGGTCCAGGGTCACAAATATATTATCTTGAATTAGCCGTTCATCTGGATCTCAGAAGAATGGCGTTTTGCACATAGACTGCAACTTAAAAGCACCTTTCCCCTTCATTCCAACACGTACGCAAACCACCAACAAAGCCATAATAAAAGCACCACCTTGTGACTCAGTCATCCAGACCGGAGCAGGCGACAGCTGGGGATGTTTAAAGAATAATATGCCCACTGGTGAGTTTATGATGGTTCTCCACAGAAGTTACTACGTTTTTCCCCCTCAAACAACAGCTTGACTCGTTCATAGCTAGCATTTCGGCCCATATATGCACACTGAATCTCGAGGGAGCCAAAGCGAGAGGGTGGAGTCGTTTTTTCGGCCGGTCGTAAATAGTTAAAGTTGTGTATGAAAAGAGAGAGAGAGCGAAACGCAGTCGGCATTAAAGTTTAACATTACTCAGCAGCCACCCGGCCTGATACGTGCCCTATATTAGGTCATCGTGAGGAACTTTTATTCGTGACGGCTTTAAGTTACAGTTCATTGAGAGAATTAACGGAATTAGATTAGATGGGAGGCCGATGAAATCACTCTGAGAAGCTGACTTGGCTCTTTCTCAGCAGACATCATAATTAAAATGAGGTAGATGGGGAGGAAAATATGCTACGGTTTTGTGTGCGTTCGCCGTCCCAGCGCCCAGCTGGAGAATATAAATGCGATCGCATCCATTCTCCTATCGGAAGGAGGGAGCAGGGGTCAGTCCTGTGGGAGCCGTCCTGTTTGGGATTATTTACGGGAGTTTGTGTCTAAACATGTCCTGATATACCTCTGGATCGCTGCAGATCAGACTGTTTGGAAACAGGGATACATCCGGAGATTGAATTCGAGTTCTTGGCTGATAGTCGTGTGATTGTCCGTGGTTAATAAACAATACGCCGCTTGTGGTCGAGCTGATAATAAGCAGCTCTGTTTGTTGATGGAGATTATATGATGTTACAGAAACGCTCCCTCATCCATATGGCCTTCATATTGACCGCAAATCACAATAAACAGAGATGTGGGGAAATCGTAATGTTTGTATTTTCTCGCAAACATTCTGTCAGGATGAAGTGGTAAATGGTTTGTGTACGAATCTGGTTGGTGTTAGGCAGAGACTCGCTTGGAGGCTGGTAGTTATGAGTTCATATATGTGCTTTGTTCCTGCATAAACAGGAGATGTGGAGGAAGTGTGGATGGCTTTAGCTCATATTCCAAGGAAAACTGAATTTTCCAGTCTAGAAGTAGCTTTGTGGTTTTTAATCCAACAATGAATCATAAGGATTAACCAGTTAAATGTTTAACCCTGACCAAAAAAGAGTTGAAATGTAGAGCAAAACTTGATATATTAGCCAAAACTGGCATTTTAAAAAAAGTACTTCTGTTTATTAGTAATATACAAAAATATTATTTATATTATATATATTCTGGATTTTAGAGTAGTAACTTTAGTGTTTTTTGTTTCTTGTGTGTGAAAACTATTAGCTAGTGCACTACCTTTCAAAAGTTTGGGGTTGGTAAGATTTCATAACTCTCTTATGCTCACCAAGGCTGCATTTCACAGTAATATTGTGAAATATTATTACAATTTAAAACAACTTTTATCTATTTTTAAAATGTAATTTTATTCCTGTGATGCAAAGCTGAATTTTTTAGCATCATTAATCCAGTCTACAGTGTCACATGATCTTTCAGAAATCGGAAATCAATTTTATTTTGTAGTATTAAATATTAATTTCGGATTATTATCAATGTTAATGTGGTTATTTTTATGGAAAGCATGATGCATTCATTTCAGGATTTTTTGATAAATAAAACATTTAAAATAACAGCCCTTATTTGAAATAGATACATGTCTTTAGTTTATACTGAACATGTTTTTCTAGTTTTCTCATAAGCTGTGTGCAAAAAAACAAAACAAAAAAACGTGCTACTAGTGATTCACAAGCAAATTACTTTTATGTACAGGTTCTTTTTCGGAATCATTGAAGAAATTCGTAAGGATGTGTATATTGCAATATTTTTTGTGTATGAGCTTAATTACAAATATTTCTTGTATTTCAATTAATTTTTGCTTTTCCACTTTTAGTAAACATACTAGTTACTAAAACAGCTTTGCGTTTGAACATGCTAGCTTGGCACAAGAAAGAAAAGTTGTTTTTTTCCTGACATTTCTAGTCTTTCATTGGCATATGAATAGATGATTACATATAACTCATTTAGCCACAGAAAGCATCATTTATCTCTCTGTAAACGGTCTGCGAAAGGCCTGTTGTGGTGATTGTGTACAGTGGTTTTGAGAGTGTTGGTCTACCTGCTATAATGTGGTGTAGAGAATACGGGAGAAGGCTGGGTAATTGCTCCATATCTCCCCTCGCAATGGCTTGTTTGTTTTGGCAGGAGAAAAGAGACAGCAAGCCGCTTTTCTCAAGCTGCACGGAAATCACCCATGAGTCTTTAGTGCTTCCTGTCCCTAGTTGGCTGCAAGTCGAGTCAGTCATTTTGACTCCTGGAGTCAAAATACTGGAGAGTTTTGTTACAATCTGAATCATCCCGCCTATATAAGTGCAGTCTTTTTTAGCATATCTTTAGTTGGCTGTTACATTTGCTGATGCTTAGTAATGCTAAACTTTGTCTCTTAAGGGGCTCCATGCTGTTTGTGCTACAGACATGAATGATACCTCAAATTGTGTGTGCTATCAGTTATAGCTTTTGACTCATTGGCCAGTAATGTTAAATTAACATTTCCAAAAAGGGACAATATTTGCCTTTAGGAAATGATTTTCATGGTATTTATTTATTTCCATATAAAATACATATCATATATAATTTACCAGTAATATTTAAGAATTAAAAAAAAGATCCTTTTTTATGTCAAATTTGTTTTTTGCAAGTTTTTGCAACATTTATAAATTAAGGGGTAGGCCTCTATGATTTCATTTATTAAGGGAAAAAAACGGTCCAAACCTACCTGGCCCTACGTGAAAAATTAATTGTCCCCTCCTGTTAAATCATGAAAGAACTGTGATTAACCACATTATTTTAGAAAGCTGAGTTAAATTTCACTAGCCACACGCAGGCCTGATTACTGCCAGACCTGTTGAAT